CTCGGCTTTGGGCAGGTTCAGCTCCTTAACCCCTTTATGCCTTGGTTTCCCCACATTACACTATAAAGCTTAGACCTTCCTCCACCTACCCAGATGACGCAAAGGAGTGTAAATGCGACTCCCCTAAGAGAGAGGCGCTATCTGCGTACCCCGCATTCTCACCCCCCCTTCCAGAACTGCAGAGATTCTGCATTTCCCCTGGAGCCTTTCCTGGAATCTGCCAAATCTCTCTCCTGTCTTCCCACCCCCTCCCTCCTCATCACCCCTCTGCCTCCTGTGACTTCCACTGGCTGTGCATCCAGCTGATCCATGACCAAGATAATCAGATTACCTTGGGTCCAGAATAATCTATTCCATATGGCTTGCCAACTTAGAGGCTCCGGGAGCTAAAGGTGTGAGGAAAGGGGGTGATCTTAGTTGGAAAGGGCTCCCTGGGAGCCTCGGGGGCCTTAGCTGGGAAGCTGCTGGGGAAGGAGGGAGGTGGAGGAGAAGTCAGGGGCCTTCCTGCTGAGCCCCCTGACTGCTCTGGGGCTCCAGGTGGCCACAGCCTCATCCGTCTGTGACCCATGGGGGCTTAGGAGCCATGCTGGGGGGCTGCGCACTCCCCATGCTTTTTCCACTCTCTGGATTGAGGGGTGGTCACTATAGGGCACTGCTTCTCGAAAGTGGCCAAGTTTCATAATTCTGGGGCAACTGTACCTTTCACACCCAAATTCTCCAGCTCTGTCCCCCAGGGGCTCTGGTGCAGCAGGTCCAGGGTGGGTGTGGAAACCTTCTTCTATCTCCACGGGTCCCTGGGACTTGTGACAAGGTCTTGTGGGTGCTCGAGGACTCCGGGGGAGTCTCCCCCACACTGGCACCCTCACTCTTGGGGCAGCCTTCAGGAGGAAAGGAGCCCCCCCTGTCTTCCAGAGGAGATAGGACAGCTGGTGGGGAGGACAGAACACAGGCTTTGACCCAGGCAGAGGCAAACGGGCCCCAGCTCTGCCCCTGTTTGCCACGTGACGCGGGACAACCTCTCGACACCTCCATTCCCTCATCCGCAAAGGGAGGCAGTGACACCCACATCACGGCAGGGCAGGGAGCTGTGACCCAGCCATGCCCCCAACACAGTGCCAGGCCCAAGTGACAGTAGCAACCATGACCACGATGGTGGCCCAAAGCTCAGGCCACGCAGGATGATCTCCTTATAATGTCAGCACAGAAAGTCTAACTACCTCGTGGCACAGGAGCAGAATCTGGGGCCCAGAGATGGGGAGCGAGTTCCCCACGTGACACGGGTGGCACCTGGCAGGATGGAGATTCGCTTCTAACCCCCACTGGTCACACTCCAGAGGGGTGTCCTGGGCTGTGTCAAGGTGGCAGCTTGTTCCCAACAGTCCCTCCCCTGGAAGGGCCTGCCTCTCGGGCTGGGGCCGGGGTGTGGTGGGATGATCCCGGCCCGTAGGGGACACCTCAGTGAGGAGCCTCCCGGGAGATGGGCCTGCAGATGCTCACAGGCCTGCGGCAGAGGAGCTTCTTCCCTCCCCTGGGGCCCCTGGCTCCGGCGGGGACAGGGATTAGGGGCTACAAGGGGAGTATTGACATAGCACCTTTGATTAGCACTCCCGTGTCAGAAGGGCCCGCCGGGAAATGAGAGCAGGGAGGCTGGGAGGCGGGAGCGGGGGCCCGCGTGCAGGGCCCAGGCCTGGCCGGTGGAGCTGGCTGGCTCCTGGTGGGAAGGCTGAGCCCCAGGCCCCGGCCCAAGAGGAGGCTGCCCTGTCCCGCCCGCCCCCACCCCAGCCAACGGCCCCAGCTGAGCTCTCACCTCTGCGCAGTGGGGCTGCCCCCAGGCCTCATTTCCCAGCCTTACACGTTGGCAGGCGCAGGCAGGCTCGGGCCAGGGGGCAGAAGCCACTGGCTCCGGCACTTGTCAAAACACGGGCCCCAGAGGTGTGAAGGCCTCACCGCCGCGGGAGGGCGTGCGGGCCCTGCTGCCCGGAGAACTCATTAACTGGGGCAGCTCCCAGATGAGCCCATAGGAGGAGCTGGTGATAAGATCAAAGGTGAGAGAGGTGGGGGGGGGGGGCCGGGGGGGGGGGGGGGGCGGTAAGGGAAAAGGCAACTGGCAGGAGGCCGTACAGCTCAGGCTCCGGGCTGGGAGGGGTCCCTCCTCTGCCCCCACTGGCTTTGGCCTTTGCACACATTGGGCCCGGACAGCCCCCCGGGGGGGGGGGGGGCAGCAGGAGAGGAAGGGACTCCCAGGCGGCAGCCTTTAGGACCGAGGCCTCCAAGGTTGGGGCGGGGTGGAAACCTGCCATCTGCCCTGCCTCTCTCATGCCCTTTTTGGGGTCTCTTTGCCTCCACACTCGCCTGGGGGGCTTCTTAGCCCTCCCTGGGCCTGACACCAGAGATCCTACTGTCACATGCACTTGTCCATGTCTCTCCTGCTCCAGGCCTCTCGGCTGCTCCCGCACAAGGGCCCAAGGGATGTCAGATCTTAGGTCCCAGATGCGCGAATCCTCAGGAGCCAGAGCTGTGTTTTTAGGATAAACAGTCTGCCTCCCACACATATGGCCTGTTGTCCAAAACATGTCTAGTTGATTTTGTACTGCATAAGATGAAGAGTCATTTCAAGGACAAACCAGTCCCGGCAGTTTCCCCTGGACAGGGAACTGCAGGCCTCAGAGGCAGGATGGTAATGAACTTCGTTAGACCCTCCGTGCTTGTTGAGCCGTGGACTTTCTAGCCATGTGCACGTAGTGGATTTTCAAAGAGATGACAACGAAGCAAGAGGGTGGCTGACTGCCTAGGCGTTTTGGGTCGTTCTGAGTTTTCTCAATGATTAGCTGCAAAGTGGAAATCCGAATCGTGGGAATTGGAGGGATTTTTTGACATTCAAAAGGTTGGAAGCAGAGTGCCCCAGAGCCCTTGCAAATCCCACCCCTCCTGCCTGACCAGTCTGTACTCTGCGCCCCCTCCCACCTGAGTGCGCGATATGCTCTACCATTTGCCAACTATTAGTCCCCTTGGGTCCAATGGCATTGAAGGGGCCCAGCGGCTGGGCTGCAATGCCAGGTTCTTGGCTTGGATCTGGGGTCCCAGGAAGGCATCCCTTGACCAGGGTCCAAAAGGGGCAGACCCCACTGACAGCTTCAGGCTGAGGAGGGCCCTCCTGGAGCAGGCTCTCCTTGGGAATAGATGGGTCTATGGCACGGGCCCAGGGAATGGGCTCCTCCCCTTCTCCCCGAGGCTGGGTTGGCACTACCTCTCCTGGATGCGACCACGGGCATAAGAATTCTGGGACTGCTGGGACAGACTGCAGGGGAAGGGGGTACAGAAGGTGCTAGAAGAGGCCAAGGGCAGTAGAAGATAAAATGAGGGGAGGAGGTGGTGGTGGGCAGAGATACCCAGGGAGAAGGTACCAAGTCACTTGGCCACCTCTGCCACAGACCAGCTCACTGATCAGTCTCACCGGGCTGGAAGCCATGGGGGATGGGAAACATACCCCTCCCACTGAAAGATGTGTAAGATAATACTTCTCTTGAAGACATGATGCTAGACACCAGGTACTTCGCAGTCTAGGCAGAGGACAGACATGCACAAAGTAGCTATTACGACAAGGTGCAAACTCAAACACCTGAGGGGTCAGGCAAGGCAGCATAGGTTCTCTGAGATTTCCTACCTAGACAATCATATTGTCTATAAATGGAGAGAGTTTTATTTTTCCTTTCCAATCTGTATGCCTTTTATTTCTCTTTTGTTATTGCACAAGCTAGGCCCTCCAGGACAATGTTGAGTAGGCCAGGGTAGGAGGGGACATCCTTGCCTTGTTCTCAGTATTAGGGGAAAGCATTCAGTCTCTCACTGTTGAGTATATTAGCCGTGGGTTCTTTGTAGATGCCTTTTATCAGGTTGAGAAAGTTCTCTTCTATCAGCTAGTTGGCTGAGAATTTTTATCATGAAGGGGTATGAATTTTGTTAAATGCTTTTTCTGTGTCACGTCCACTCACATTTCAATGTCCGAGTCCTCTATACCTGCCCCAAAGTGGCGGAATACCAGCCTGAGGCCAGTGGTGGCAGCTTGTGGCAGCAGGCCAAGCCCTTGATCCTGCCAGGCTGAGGGTGTCCTGAAGGGCATCAGGCTTCCCCTCCCTCAGCTCAGATGGTCCAGCAACTTGACCAGATTTGACCAGCTTGTTGGACTTGCCTGGGAAAGCTTCCTCATAGTGCCCCTACCTCCCACGACCACCACCACCAGGTGGGCCACGTCCAGGAGGAAAAATGGATTACTGTTCCTCTCACTTCTAGCCGGGATCAGGGCCGACTCAGGGTCCCCACCCTACCGATTCTTTTTTTTTTTTTAAGATTTTATTTATTTGACAGAGAGAGAGACACGGCGAGAGAGGGAACACAAGCAGGGGGAGTGGGAGAAGGAGAAGCAGGCTTCCCTCTGAGCAGGGAGCCCGATGTGGGGCTCAATCCCAGGACAGTGGGATCATGACCTGAGTCAAAGGCAGGCAGCCGCTTAACACTGAGCCACCCAGGTGCCCCCCCCCCAACCTACCGATTCTATAGACCTGGCTGCAGCATGCCCCAAGGTTCCCATTGTACAAACTGGGAACGAATTTGCAAGAAAACGTTAAGAATCTGCATAAGGTCCCAACAGGTGAAGGCAGCCCCAAACCTAGGTCCTATACTTCCAGTTCCCTGACCGCGCTTCCTTTAACCTGCTGAGCTGGCCCAACACGCCAGGCAGCTCAGGCCACTGGGCGAAGGCAAGAGGCCCGAGCGGCTGGGTCAGGTGCCCATGCGAGGGCCCAGGTGGGCCCAACCTGGGGCAGCCATCGGCCCGCACCTTCAGCACCCCCCTCCCGCCCCCGTTGGTTCAAAGGGTCAGGCCCCGCCCCCTCCAGGTCCCGAGCCCGCTTTGAAGTGCTGATGCGGCCTGGAAGGGGCCACTTCACACCTCGGGGCTCGGGATAAAGCGGTCGCCGGCCCCCAGACGCGCCACCGCCGCCATGGCCCAGTCCCTGTGCCCGCCGCTCTCCGAGTCCTGGCTCCTCTCCCCGGGTTGGGGCCCGGCTCGGCCTCCGCTGCCCTCCGACAGGGACTGCAGCTGCTCCCCCGCCTCGTCCCCGGACTCCTGGGGCAGCGTCCCGGCCGGCAGCCCCGAGCCGAGCCCCGGGCGGCCCGGCGCCCACGCGGCCCCCCGAGCCCGGAGCGCTGGCAGGCGCGGCGCCCGCGGCAGCCGCCTGGGCTCCGGGCAGCGGCAGAGCGCCAGCGAGCGCGAGAAGCTGCGCATGCGCACGCTCGCCCGCGCCCTGCACGAGCTGCGCCGCTTTCTGCCGCCGTCCGTGGCGCCCGCCGGCCAGAGCCTCACCAAGATCGAGACGCTGCGCCTGGCCATCCGCTACATCGGCCACCTGTCGGCCGTGCTGGGCCTCAGCGAGGAGAGCCTGCTGCAGCGGCGGCGGCGGCGGCGCAGCGACGCGGCGGCGGCGCCTCGGGGCTGCCCGCTCTGCCCCGACGGCGGCCCCGCGCAGGCGCAGGCGCAGACGCAGGCGCAGGTGCAGGCGCGCGCCCCGGGCGTGGGCTCTGCCGCCGGCGCCGCAGCGTCGTGGGGGTCCCCGCCGGCCTGTCCCGGAGCACTAGCGGCGCCCGAGCCTCGAGACCCGCCGGTGCTTTACGACGAGGCAGCGTGTCCGGAATCGCTGGCAATGGAGCTGAGCCCCTCGTCTCCGGTTAGTACCTCCTTCCCGCGCAGGACGCCCTCCCGGCGCTGTCGTGTGTGGTGCTACCTGCTGTCCCCGTCCCCAGCGTGCAGCTCCCCCTGCGGCACCCCCACCGGCAGCCTGACCCGGGCTGCATGCTATCCGGAGCAGCGTAACTGGTGTGCCTGGGGCGCTCAAGCGGGGAGCGGAGGGGGAGGACACGCAAGGGACAGGGTCCTGTTCTCCGCCAAAGGTCCCCTGAGAGTGGAGCCCATGAGCGCGGACACCCACCCCCAGCAGCCAACGCGGACGATAACTCTGTTCCCTCTCTCTCCGCAGCTCTTTCCTGGCGACGTGCTGGCCCTGCTGGAGACCTGGATGCCCCTTTCGCCCCTGGAGTGGCCGCCGGCCTGAATAGTTGTAGTGACGACGTACAACTGGCGCCCTGTCTGTGAGCATCGAGGCCTTTTTGGCCTTGGCACCTTCAAAACGGCCCCTCTCCAGACTCCTTTCCTGGGAGGGGGCCCCTGTGATACTGGCATATGCATTCCTGAGAGCGAGGCCCTGTCCCCACCCAGGGCGGCCCTCCTCAGCCCCTCCCGCAATGGAGGGACCCATAGATAGATCCTCGGAGGCTGGCAGGGGGTGCCTGCCTAGTATGTATTTATTTATTTGTGAATAAACTGTGCTGGTGTCATTGACCGTTTCTTCTTCCTCTACATGGGCGCAAAGCTCCCCCCCACACACACAAAGAAGAACCTAGGAGAGGGCGCCTGGGTGGCTCAGTCTTTAGGCGTCTGCCTTGGGCTCAGGTCATGATCTCAGGGCCCTGGGATCGAGTCCCGCATCGGGCTCCCTGTTCGGCGGGGAGCCTGCTTCTCCCTCTGCCTCTCTCTCTCTCTCTCTCTCTTATGAATAAATAAATAAAATCTTAAAAAAAAAAACCTAGGAGAATCAAGAGGGTCTCTTGTCTTCAGCCCTCAAAGCACACAGGCTCACACCCTTTCCTCCTTGCCCCCAGCCCTGGCTTAGCATCTCCTGGTCTGGGAAGGTCAGCCTGGAAGGGGGGAGGTGCTGCATATAAGGACGTGGTAGCAGGTGGAGTCTGTCCATATTTTCTTTGAACCTGGTGGGATCTGGGTAAACCTAAGTGTCTCTGTAGCAAATACATTTCTGTTAGTACTTACTATGCATCAGGTCCTTTATACATTTTATACCCAAATAACCATTTTACAGAAGAATAAACCAAGGATCGGCACTTAAGCCCTGATATGAATTCATATCAGGGTAGGGTCTCAGGGGACACCAGCTACCAAGGGCTTATTTCACGTGTCCCAAGCCTTTTCTCCCCTTGTGCTAGAACATCATGGCCTGGACCTTGGGATTTTCTCATCTCCCTTCACTCTGGTTTCTCTCCCAAGTGGTTTAGGGACATAAACTAACATCCGTGAGTCAGTCCCGGGTTCATGTAACTGTGAGCTCCCAGCAGCCTAGCTAGGGTGAAGAGGCTCATGGAGGTCGCATCCAGATCCACAGCTGCCCTGGAACCACACTCCTGTCTACACTTCAGGGACACGTTGTATGGGAAAGAAGAAAGCCTTGACCCTGAAGGAGCCTGGCCTCGCTCAAGGGGGCTGGGAAGCAGTCAGGCCTTGGGGGAAAGGTGAGGTGGGGCTAGTGGATGTAGCCTCTGCCCAAAGGCCCTCTGTGGCTGGATACCAAGTTCTTCCCTCTCCCTCAAGCATCTGAAATACGGGGCCTTGGTATTTATTTTTTTATAAGAGCTTTATTGAAATACAGTTTATGTACAATAAAATTCGACTTTATAATTCAGTGGTTTTAGTGTATTCATAGAGTTATGCACTCATCACCACTGTCTAAATTGAGAACTTTTTTTTGTTTGTTTTTTAAGATTTTGACAGCACGAACGGGGGAGCTGCAGAGAGGGAGAAGCAGACTCCCCAGTGAGCAGGGAATCCTACGCGGGGCTCGATCCCAGGACCCCGGGATCATGACCTGAGCTGAAGGCAGAAGCTTAACGGACTGAGCCACCCAGGTGCCCCTAAATCGAGAACATTTTCATCACCCCCAAAAGAAACACCGTGCCCATTAGCAGGCACTACCCCATTATCCCATTCCCCCCACCCCCAACCCAGCACACTCGGCTCCTTTCCCCATAGATCTGCCTGTTCTGGACATTTTGAATGAATGGAATCCCACAACAGGAGGCCGTTTGGGTCTGGCTTCTTTCACCTGTCACAACATTTCCAGGGTTTATCCGCGTGGTCTCCTGCGTCAGTACTTCTGACTGCCCAGTGATACTCCATTGCATGGACACGCCCCGGCTTATCTGTTTAGCCGTGGATACTGAGAGGTTTGTTTTGAGACCACCTCAGAGATCATTTGCGGGTAACTCAGAGCGGGCCGGCGACACTGCTGTGTCATTCAGGCAGCCAGGCGCACCCTGGCCAGCATTTGGCCCCAGAGAGTGGGATCCAAAAGCAGAGGCCCTGCAGGGGGGCAGACCTCACACCTCCACTGACCACCCCCTTTCCCACACCTCCCCTCCCATCTTGCTTTCCCCTCCCAGGACCCTAACCGGAGCAGAGTGGGAAGTCCTTTCCAGGGGCCTAGCCAATTTAGAAAATCTGTTTGCATGGCAAAGGCCCTGTGGTTTAGGATGGGGAATTAAAGTTATTAGCAAGTCTTTTCACAGATAAGTGGGGCTCATTGGCCAGCGCCCTCCCCTGGGGCGAGCCTCGCCTCCCTCTCTCGGAGCCGGGAGCGGCCCAGTGTTTATTAGCACCTGGGTGTGAATTTTCATTAACACGTCTCTGCTAATAGGACAGAGGACCGGGGATGGGAAGGGGTCTCCTCGCACCGCTCCTGCGCCTGCGCCCCCTTGCTGGGCCAGCGCCCCCGCACCCGGCGGAAAGCCCGTGTAGCCGTTCCGAGGCACTGGGGCGGCCAGCAGCTTCCAGGTAGGCGAGAGCTTGTGCTCTCTCGGTTCTCCGCCAACCAGCCTGGGAAGGCGGCCCGCTGGTGGGGCTGTGTTAAGGATGGGAACGTGGAGCGAGGAGAGGCTAACGAACGCGCCCGGGCAGACGGTCAGGGGCAGCGTGGGATGCGGACCCGACGGGAGTGCAGCTTCCCCGGGGTGCACACACAGCTGAACACCAGCCTGTCTCCAGGACGAGGACGAGGGTACTGGGTGGCGCCCCGGGCCCTGGCCGGGGGTGGGGGCGCGCGCCTGCTGGGAGGTGGGAGCCAGAGGCCGGCATCAGCACGGGCCCGGCTCAGAGCCCTGCCCCGGCACAGGCCCACGGAGCGGCTCCCGCCAGCCAGGCTCGGTGGTAAGGGCTTTCAATTCAGCGCCTGACCTCAGGTCCTTTGAGCCCGGGAGCCGCAGGGGAGGTGGGCAGGTGTGTGGGCTTAGGCCTATTTTACACAGCGGGACACGGAGCACAGAACACGGGGAATTGTTCACAGAGCTAGTGCCTGGCCGTCGGGGCGGGGACAACGGTGGGTGGCGGTTGACAGATCGGGTCCTGGCAGGCGCGTGCGCGCGTGCGTGCGTGCGTTGGGAGGTGCAGGAGGCCCCTCACGCTCCTAGGCCGCCCGTGCTATTGCTAGCAGGGAAGCTGCTTCTGCTTGCTGAGCAGGGATGTTGCTCCCGCTGCGAGGGTTGCACTGTGTGGGTGCTGATGCCGAGGGGCCGCGTCCTAAGGAGGGGCAGCTAAGCTGATGGTTTTATAGCCAAGACATTTACTCAAGGACAAGCTACATGGGTCACCATATGAACCCCGGGGGGAGGAAGAGGGCAGTGGTCACGGGTTGTCTGTCGGCGCAAGGGAGGGGATAGGACTGAGGCTGGGCCGGGCCTTGTGTGCCTCGCTGCTGCGTCTGGGGGAGGCTGAGCCCCGATGTCCCTCTGGCCACGTGTTGCTAAATAAAGAGGGCCGTCTGAGGGGCACACTGATGCGCCAGGCTTCTGAAACAGCCTGTAGCTGGAGAACCAGGGTAGCACAAGGCTGGGGAGGGCAGCTAGGCCGAACTGCAAAGTCCCTGCTTATCCCGGGGCGAGGCCAGGAGCTACCTTGTCCACCCCACTCCCCAGATGTCATCCCTGCGTTTGCACAACCCTGAGCGTGATGGCCCCTAACTATGGCACTTTGGGCACTCCTTTGACTCACACTAGCTCCAACAGTCCCCTGAGAAGACCCAGGGTTCTCTTTTTTTTAGAGAGAGTGAGCACACTTGTGTGCCAGCAGGGTGGGTGAGGGGGAGAATCTCAAGCAGACCCGCCCCCCCCCCCCCCCCCGCCCCGGAGATCATGACCAGAGCTGAAATCAAGAGTTGGACATTTAACTGAGCCACCCAGGCAGCCCCAGGAGACCCAAGGTTCTTGGTCCTTCTGGGGGGTTCTGTCACCCAGTGGGCAAGGACCTCTTTTGGGGACCACTGGCACCGCCCGCTCAGCCTCCGGTGGTGCACCAGCCCTGAGTGGGGCTAGAGCCGTGGGTCCCCAGCTCAGCGCTGCTCAGGCCTCTTCTGCCCATTTCCCGGCACTTTGCCCAGCCCTGGGTCCTCCGCCCTCCTCCCTCCCCCTCTCCAGTGTACCTGGCATATGAGGCTCCTTGTGAATGCCCCAACTCCCCTCCCCCCACACACTAGGCAACAAGGAGCTGGGTGGGCAGCACATGACTTTGAAGAGGGGGGACAGGGCCAGCTCAGCACCCCTCCTGCCTTCTTCCCTTGTGACCTGGCATTTCCCTGTCTTCAGATGGCTCTCCCCTCCTTAGGTTGGGTGGGCGTGACTTCCATGTGCCTCCAGGGATGGGCCCGTGTCACAGGCCTGCGCGGTCAGCCCCAGAGTGCTTCAGGAATGTGACCACACCCAGACCAGTGAGAAGCAGGCTTCGGACTTTGCTGGAACCGTCAAGGAAGGGACACTGGCTGTGGGTGCTGTTGGCGGTCACGTTGCCAGCCAAGCAGAGGGCCTCCCTTTTTACAAAGGGAATCAAAACGGAGATGGAGAGTGCTGATGTTCTCCAACACCTGGACCCAGCCGCGTGGAATGCATCACACCTGGATTTTTACATTACATGAGCCAACCCGAAAGTTGATTTGAGTTGAGCCGCTGACACTTGATGTTGAAAAAGCCCTTTAGGACTTGATACAGGCTGTTCCAGGCCGTGTACCCTGGGTCTCAATTTCCCTTCTGTGAAATGTGGACAATGATACCCTCTCCAGTTCACAAGGTTACTTGAGGCGCACAGGTCAAGCCCACAATCGCAGCAGTGCCCCGTAAACGTTCGTCCTCTGTGCCATTCGGGTGTGTGTAAGGCCACGGCCATCATCCTAAGTTTCACTCCCTCACCGGAGACGAGGGTGGCCACCGTGCGCGCCGTCTGTCTGGAGGAAGAGGGTTGTTGTGAGAGTCGCCGGTGCTGCCTGTCTCTCGCTCGCCCGGTGGGAGGGCGACGGGCGGAATACCTCGGGGTGGGGGGGCCCCTCTCCGTGCAGGGACGTCCTGCGGTCTGTACCAG